AGAAAAGCTTTTCAGAAGGGTAGGCCACAGTGGGGAAGTTCTTTAGGACCAAGATCAGAGACTTCTTAGGGATTTTCCACCTCATTGTTTCCTGGAGGCTCCTGCTTTACGGAAGTGGAAAGAAGTGGGGCTGCTGGGACCAGCAGGGAAGCAGCCTGGGAAGCTAAGAGTATTTGGCTGAGAGTCAGGGATGGAGTGAGTTTGAACATGTGAGAGGGTCAACCTCCCCTGCCTTCACATTAGAAAGAACTGTGGGCTGATGCTTCTCAGAACCCTAGACACAAAGGGGGAAGTTGTGCTAAATACAAGGTGGGGTGTCCCCTCAGGGTGAAGTCTCCATCTGCCTTGGAGTGAAGTACTTGATTCTCTCCAAAATTATTTGCCTCCCCAATCCAGCTGCCTTCTTTAGTCTGTCTCCCCTAAGGGCTCTGATTTAGGCCATCTGGGCCTCCCTATGAGGTTTCACAGTCTTGACCCCTCTGTGGTATCTTCCTCTTCAATTGTACCTTGAAGGGGTCTCTCTGTTTAGGGATTTCTGTGGAGTCTCTCTTACTAGGTCTCTATTTGAGGATTCTGGTGGATCTGTTCAGGCTCTTTGTAGGGTCTTTCAGGGGGACCCTGCTATGATGCTGTGAGGTTTGTGATGAATGGTCCCTCTATGGAGTGTCTCATTATAGGCCTTTTCTAGGGTCTCTCAGTCTAGGATCCTCTTTGTGGGAATTTGGTCTCTTTTGAGTCCTATCTTTCCTTCAAAGTAATCCTGTATAAGGAACCCTGATGGCACAGTGGTTAAGCACTTGGCTGCTAACTAAAAGGTCAGTGATTTGAACCCACTACCCACTCCACAGGATAAAGATGTGACAATTTGCTTCTGTAAAGGTCACAACCTTGAATACTGTATAGACAGTTCTATTCTGTCATATAAGGTTGCTATGAGTCAGAATCAGCTCAACAACAGTGGGTGGTGGTGGTGGAATCCTGTATTCTACTTATTCTTAATAAACACACTTCTCCTGTGAGGAGCCTTGGGGACTCCACCTCCACTGATTTACTGGAAAAGTCTCAATGGAAGAGGGAGGAGAGAACACACAATTGAGGGTATAGGCTTGCCCCTGTGTCCCCCATTAAGACAGTCCCACTAGCACTGCAGCCCCTGAGTCAGCCCCATCACGTCTGCTCTGATAACTCAGGTGGAAGCCATGATTCAGGCTGCCGGGGAGCCACAGCACTTTGTGCTTTATAGAGCATCTCTCATGTGGGAGCATAGAGACCTGAGCAGGTATGAGATCACCAGACATGGGGGCACCCCAGTCAAGGAGGGGCTCCCCAACACAGACAGAGAAAAGGCAGAGGAGTAGACAAGAGTCAGTCATACAGACAGACAGACCCAGAGAGGGAGGGTGAGAAGAGACAGAGGAAAATAGTTGGAAGCCAGCTGGAGGGGGGACAATTGGTTGGCCTCAGGGCACCTCTTTCTCTGCCCTTCCCCTCATTGTGAGTTGTTCTCCACCTTCACCACGGTTGGGAAAAAAGGGTTGAGTCCCACACAATGATGCCAGTTAGAGCTCAGTGATTCCACTGGGGTTAGAGAGGGAATAGATTTCTCTCTAAGAGACCAGAGACTTCTCCTCTGAGAGAGAGTTAGAGCTTGGGCTAGCTAGGAAGTGAGACTGGTGAGTCCCTTGAAGTCCACCTGGTAGAAGTGCTCTCATCAGCCAGTGTGTGAAGGAGGAGTGAGGAGGGAACCCCAGCCCTTTCCTAGATGAAGATTGGAAACTAGAGGAGAGAGAGAGACTTTCTGCTTTCCGAGGATAGCCTAGACCCAGAAAATTCAGGACACTGTGGACATGCTGCCTACAGCCTATGGGATGTGCCTCCCTTGGTTTTTCTCTTGATGAGCTCAACCATACATCTTGGTCTGCTGATGTTTGAGGGGCTGCTCCTTTGCCATGCCAAAGCCCAGGGAGGGCAAGACTAGGTTCCAGCTTAAGGGCGTGAGGATGCCAGGTGAGGCAGAGGAGGGTCTAAGTCTGGTATTTGGGCTCTTACACAGAGCAGCTGAGCCTCCCAAGGAAGGGAATGATGGCACGGAGCCCTCTCAGTTGCCAGTTAAGATAAGAACACAGTCAGAAGTCTGGCCCCACCCCACACCTCTCTCACTTGCCTCTGGCAAGTGTAGTCCGACAGGTGAAGGGTTACAGCATATTAGAGAGTTTCGGTGTTGGCCCATTTTTAGGGCAAGACCCAAGAGCTTGTCCCACCCATCAGCCTCAACCTCCTACCTAACAGGAACAGGTTCTCAGTGTCTTAGTATCCTATGAGATTTAAGAAGAGGATTTAGAGATCACCTCACCCGGCCCCTCCATTCAGGCTAATCTCTGTCCCATATTTCTCCTATAATGGTACAACACATGAATAGATGTCAAGGGCAGAGTGTGGTGCCTTTCACTCCTTCCATAGTTTTTTTCAGACATGAGTAAGACAAAATTATATGCTAATTTAAAGGATAAATGAGTTGGTTTCTGGGTATATTTAAATGTGACGCAGGGAATGGATGCAGGGAATCATGAAGTGAATTTTGAGTTACAAGCATACAATTACAGTTTAGCTAAAAGGTTACCCTTCTTAAATGTCAGAAGTTTGATTAAAATTGGTTGATGCAGAGAATCTGGTCATCATCTCAACCTCACTGCCTTATAACCCCTTTTTGTCCCCATGAGCTCTTTTCCTGTAAAAGTCAAAATTTAGAGAATGCTGATGGCTTCCTGGAGTCCCTTGTTGGTGCAAATGGTTAAGCACTTAGCTGTGAACCAAAAGGCTGGCAGTTCAGGTCTGTCCACCCAGATACTCCTCAGAAGAAAGGCCTGGCAATCTACTTCAGAAAAAATCAGCAATTGGAAAGTCTGTGGAGCACTGTTCTACTCTGACACACCTTAGGTTGTCATGAATTGTAATCAATTCCATGGCAACTAGTTTGGTTTTTTAATATTTTCTCAGATAAAGTGCAGATTACTACTGAGACAGAAAATGGAACCCATTCACTGTAATGGGAGAAAGGGTTAAGAGAAGGGAAATGAGAAACAGGCAAGAGGAGGGATACTAGCATCCAACCCAAAGTGTCTGTTTAGTTTCTATTATGTGTTTATTTTGTGCCTGGCAGTTTTCATTGAGTATTTCATTTAATTTTCACAATAACTCTGGGAGTTAAGCATCATTATCCCCATTTCTTATTGGGGAAAACTGAGACTCAAATATGTTGCCAGGGTTCCCCAGATACTTAGTAATGACAAAGGGATTGAATCCAGGTTTGTCCGACTCCAAAATTCATGTTCTCAATTCTGGTGCTACTGAAGTCGATTTAAACCACCAGTGAGGGAGGGCTCTGCTTCCTCCTGCACCTTCCTGGCAGTCTCTGAAGCACTGCAGAAGAATCCCTGGCATGGTGTGAGCTGAGCAAGCCTGGGTTAGGCAATGCCTTGCTCCCAGGGTAGTACTTCATGGATGGGACAACGCCAAGTTCATTTCTCCGTTGGAGCAGGAAATGAGCCACAACAGAGACCCTTTGCAGATGTGTTCAGGTGGTCCATGTAGTTATTCTGCCTATCCATTCAGGAAAGACTTTACAGAAAGCTTAAAACTGTAGCAGGAAGTCTTAGGTTAATCAAGAAATGCCTCCCTCGATGTAGCACACATGGCAGTCACCCCTCCTGCTCTGCAGTCACTGCACTCCAGAGGGATCACAATTTAAATCTCTGCCAAAGCCAGACACTTCATTACCCTAAAATAAAAGTAGGTTTTCTCCCTGCTTTTCCTGGGGCAGAGGTCCACCCTTTTCCCTCATCCTGATCATCTCCAGACCTCGGGCGTCCAGACTGCCAACTGCCTGATTACCTGATGCAAATTAAGGCTGCCTGCTTAACTGGGATTGGCTAGGGAGTCGGGTATGCAAATAGGCTCACCAAGACTTTATCTGGTTTGAAAGAGTTAAAATGCTGCCCTTGAGAAGAGGGTGGGGGTAAGAAAGGGGGGGTCACCATGATTTGAATAAAATACTCTTCTGTCTTTAACGGATTCAGTATTTGGGTGGTTTAATAAGGAGAGGATCCCTGAGAAGAGAGTGAGTTAATTCAAAGTTGTTTCTTCCTTCTTTCTGCTGACCCTTGGAGGAGACTTAGGGGCCTCATAGGTGGCTGGCAGTTGTCTGTTAATGGGTAAATGTTTAATTTATTGAAATGAAGCAGAGTGGAGAGGCTTGACCAGCAGTGCTGGAGCTGAGACTGGGGCCTTGTATCTCATATGCCCTGGCCTCAGAAGTTCAGATTGGGGTGGGGATTAAACCTGCCATCCATTTATCATTGAGGAAGTTGAAGAAGTAGGAGAGAAGGTAAGGATCTCAAGAACAGAATCTCCAAGGAGGACAGGTTAGGGGCTAGGTTTTCATCCCTAGATATTGGGCCAACCTCTGAGAACCAGACAGAGAACACAGGCAGGAACTGAGAAAGAAAGATGAGCCAGGCAAGCTGCAGTGAAAGAAAGGGTAAGGTTGTATGGGGGTGGCAAGGGGTACTTACTGTAACATTTTTCATGCTACTTTAACAAATAAAGTAAAATAAAGCCCAAAGGAAATTAGGATTAGGGATGGAAAGAACTCCTTCTCCACCTCTGCCATACCCTTCCCCTTGTTAAATTTTTACCAACTGAGCCCTGATGACAGAAACAAGTGGCAAGGAATGATGCAAAGGTGAGAGACCCTGCAGTGGCACTTGAGAAAGGAGGAAAGAAGGGTAAGGAAAGAAGGAAAACACAAGAGGAGGGGATCCATGCCGCCACACTTATGAATATTCTAGTGGTGGTATGTTCGGGAATCAGGAATTTGAAAGTCTGATGGTTGTTGTAATTACACATTCATCTTTGCTGTTTAGTTGAAGCCATGTATGTCATAGCAAGAAAAATTGTGACCTGTTATTAAAATCCGTTGTGATTTCCCTGCAGATATCAAGATGAATGGGGATGTAGCTGATTCCACGGATGCTCGCAGTGCCCTTGGCCAGGTGGAGGCAGGTAAGGGTCTTCTCTTGTGAGGGAACAGGAAAGCGGAGGGTGGTAGAGAGTTGTTGGAAAGATGTGCTATCTCTTCTTGCTTGATCTTTCAGCCAATCAGACTAAGAAGCTGGGTCTGAGGAAATGAGGGAATTCCCCAGAGATTCAAGAATGGCCCCAGAGCCTTTGAACAGTGTATATTGGTTCACAGTGGAACAAAACCTCTGGAACTGGGCTACATAGGGACCAGATCCTTAAAAACAAAACACAAAAGTTAGGGAAGAGATTCACTTCTTGATGTGCCAAGGACCCTTAGAATCAGGCTGAATTCCCAGCTGTTACTGACTGACATCTCAAGAGTCCCTGGGTGATGCAAACCATTAATATGCTCAGCTGCTAATGGAAAGGTCAGCAGCATGAGTCTACCCAGAGGAACCTCAGAAGAAAGGCCTGGACATCCACTTCTGAAAAATCAGCCCTTGAAAGCCCTGTGGAGCATAGTTCTACTCTGGCACACATGGGGTGGCCATGATTTGATGACTTTATTTATTTTTTATGACAGAAGGCAGAATCTGTCTTTAGGGGATGGAGACAGTCCTATTCAAAGGATTAACCAAAGAGACCCATCTGTTTCCTTGCAAAAAATCATGTGCTTGGGATGGCACATAGGCTTCAAGAGGAAGGCTTGGTACCTGGAGATTTCTTTCTTTGTGAAGAAGAGAAAGGGAACAGATGAGAATTGAAGGGAAGAGAGTTTCTTAGCCTTTATTTTTAACTCCATAGTCCAAGCCTTGCTTTGAAAGCTCCATGTAATTAAAAAGAACTTAAAGAAAGATGAGTATAAATTGTAACACTACCAAATAACTTTAATAGCGTTCCAACAAGACCTCAATTAGTCTTTCATCTGGATCATTAGAGACATAGAAATTAGAAGTGAAAGAGAATTGATGTCCCCCAGAGCTAAAAATCTTTTCCCAAGTCTTCAGGAGCAGTCCAGTGAGTTTACTTCTGAAAGCTAAAAGACTTGGGATCAGGGACAAGATAATTGGGGACCTGGGGGGCACCTGTGGAATGCATTGATCAAACTTTTCTGCTCCACAATTTAATATTCAAATAGTATCTACTTGCTCCAGTAACAGTACATTTAGAGCTACAGACTTTATACTTTGCTTTGTATATAGGAATAGCTGTACTAAGAAGGGTATAGGCCAGTTATACTTACTTTCCAACTGATTTATTAGGTGAGTTTGTTTCTCTAGGGGTATGCTGGCAAGATACTTATTCTCCCCTATTGAGAAGAAAATTTCCTTCAATCACAAGAACTTCCAAACCTAACCAAACCTATTGCCATTGAGTTGATTCCAACTCATAGTGACCCTATAGGACAGAGTAGAATGGCCCCATAGGGTTTCCAAGGCTATAAATCTTTATACTGAAGCAGACTGCCTTATCTTTCTCCTGTGGAGTGGCTGGTTGGTTTGAACTGTTAACCTTTTAGTTAGTAGACAAATGCCTTAACCACTGCACCACCAGAGCGCCTTTGAAGAACCTCAGTGAGGCTTTAAGATCAGTTCAGCTGGAGAGTAATGAGCAACATCCCTGTACCCTTCCCTAAAGGAAACCAGAGCCCAGGACCAACTCTTCACCTGGGTCCTGTGACCACAGGTATGTGAGGACACAGCTACTAGCTGCAACTAAGTTTCAGTGACCAATTCACAGTGACAGTGTTGGGAGTGAGAGTGAGCCACACAGAATACTGAAAAGTGGGCCAGGAGAGGGAGGGAGTTCAGATCCTGGTGGCAGTTAGAGAAGTTAATGTGTTATAGACAATCTGAACAAGTTCTCACCTCCTGTCTGGGCTGTGGGAGTATATGTAGAGTAAGTTGAGGGAGAAAAATCCTGATATAGGCTGGAATTTGGGGGATCTGTCATCCCAGGATTCTTGTCAATTCAATGTGTGACAATAGATAAGCCATTTATCTCCCTAGGACTCCAATTTCCCCCATAAAATAAAGGGCAAAAGCAGGTGATATTTGACAAGTAAGGCTGAAGAGTCAAACAGGCCTGTGATAATGAGCTCAGCTCTGTGCTTACTGCTGTGTGACCTGATAGCTTACTGTAGTTAGCCTCCTCTCTTCTGTAAAAGGGGGAAAATAATGCCTGTCACGTATAGTGGGTTTGAGAATTATGTAAGATGATGTTTAAAGTCATTAGCACAGTGCTTGGCACATGTTAGCTGTGATTATAATTTTCTCTAATGGCATCCAGCCACTCCTTGGAAGGAAGGTTGGGCAATCCTACTTCCGTAGTGACACTGCCTCGAAAACCCAAGGAGGGGTCGCTATGAGTCAGGGTTGACTCAATGGCAAATAACAACAACAACAACAACTAATGGCATCATTACCTGTTGCTCTCAAGTCGACTCCAACTCATGGCAGCACCATGAGTTTCAGAGTAAAACTGTGCTCCATAAGGTTTTTGATGACTGAACTTTCAGAAATAGATCTCCAGGCCTTTCTTCTGAGGTACCTCCAGGTAGAGTTGAACCTCCAACCTTTTGTTAGCAGTTGAGCCCATGAACTAACTCTTCACCACCCAGGGACTCCAATGACATCATTAGGATTCTTTGATTCTGTAATATACAGACTGAGCATCACTGCTGGAGTGTCGTCCTTCCCCTTCGGCCCAGTAAATCACCCCAAAGGTTGGTTTTACCATTTTCTCCATTCAGGAATGGATTTCTGTTAGACTCTAAGCAGACAGTAAAGTTTGTGCTGTCTAAAACTTCTCCACCCCTAGATCTATCATTTCAGGGTTCTCTTATAGCATCAATACTAAATGATGTATACTTTCAAGGGCAAGAAAAAAGAGGTAGCTAATTAAAGTAACCAGACTTATATACTACTGTATGCTTTGAAGGGCAAGAAAAAAAACACATAGCTAATTAAAGTAACCAAACTTCCTGGAAAGTCGTTCTGACTCATTTTTTACAGAGGAAAGCTTATTATGAGTCACAATAGTTACCAACGTGGTTTAATGGCTTCCTTTGGATTTTTAAAAGCACAGATTCACCTTCCCAGCAGCACATGAATTAAGGGATGGTTTGTCTCTGAGTTTTAAAGGAACTATAAACAAAGGAAAACTAGAAAGCCCCAGCTCCCTGAGAGCACAGTTTCTGTGTGGTGTATAATCCCCAAGGGGCACAAGGAGTGGGAACTGGGAAAAGGAGGTGAATTTCCCCATCCCCATTGGCCAGGAATGTGAAGGAGAGCATTCTCCCACCCAGACACAGAACTCCTGGTTGGTAGAGACCTGACAGGGCAGCTCATCCCTCCCTTTATTTCTCATAGATGGGAAATAAACTGCCCAAGCCCTCAGGGTATCTGTGACAGCACCAGGGACCAGACATAGGCTTCTGTTCTCTGTCCAGGGTTCCTTCCACAACTTGCAGAGGACTGAGCCAAACCCTTCTCAATTTCTGAACTGCCACCTTTTCTCTCCATCCTTTTACTTCCTCACCTATTATCACTTCTTCATTCTTGAGACTGACAACAATTTTTTTCTGTTCTTAATTGAGAGGTTGACAAGAATATATCCTTACCCACATTGCAAAAGCCTCCAGGTTTATAATTGACAACCCTTAAGTGCTGATGTAATATATCAGACAGTGTTTCACTGGTATTCATAAGGTTTTCAGTGGCCAAATTTTTCAGAAGTGGATGGCTCCGTCTACTTCTCATAGGGTCTCTATGAGTCAGAATAGACTTGACAGCACCTAACAACAAAAACAAGTGCTGATGTGGAGTCCTTGCTGGTGTGAATGGTTAAGGTGTTCAGCTGCTAACCAAAATCAGCCATTGAAAACTCTATGAAGCAGTTTTACTCTGACACACATGGGGTCACCATGAGTCAGAATTGACTCAAAATTAACCAAACTCACTGCCATCAAGTTGGTTTCGATTCATAGCAACCCCTCCTTGGGTTTCTGAGAGGAGCTCTGGTAGCATAGTCCCTAAGGCATTTGACTGCTAACCAGAAGGCTGGAGGTTCAAACCTACCAGCCACTCCTCAGAAGGAAGGTTGGGCAATCTACTTCCATAGTGATACCACCTTGGAAACCCAAGGAGGGATCCCTGTGAGTCGGATCTGACTCAACAGCAGTGAATATCACTACAGAAGCAGATTGCCCAATCTTCTTTCCGAGGAGTGGCTGGTGGGCTTGAACTGCCAGCCTTCTGGTTAGCAGGCAAATGCCTTAGGCACTATGCCACCAGAGCTCCTGGAATTGACTCCATGACAACTATTTTTTTTAAGTGCCATTGTTACCAACTCTGTGGCTTTTTACCACACTGGTCTCAGTGTAGCCTCAGACACAGGAGAAGAAGAAATGGTGGGCTCAGGAGGAAGGAGGGAAAGAAAGGCCACTAACATTTATATACCCATCTCCCCATTTCATGTACATGTAGACACTTTTACATACATCCCATTCACTTCCTATAATAACCCTATGAGACAGAGGCATTATTATCCCCATTTTTAACTATGAGGAAATTATGGCTCAGAGGATGAATCTAAGTTTCTGGTTATAACCAGAAATCAAACACAGGTCTGTTTGACTCCATCAGGTTCTTATCATAGCTTTGCCTTTAACTCACTGTATGCTATTGGACAGGCCATTTTCCCTTTATTTTCCTCCCCATAAAGGAGGATTTTGGACTAGATGATCTCTAAGGGCATAATTTTAAAAGATGTGTGCACGGTTCTGTTTTTCAAAATTCCCTCCCATCTGTTTTCACCTCTTGTATTTGTGTGCTAGTTTCCCCATTGCTGAACTCTCCCTGTGCACGCTATGTCCCTTGCTCTCCCCATTCCCTTCTTTCTAGTTTCCCTTCCAGCATTCTCTTCTCCATCATCTCCAGTTGGCTTTCTCTGCCTGGGCTTCCATTCTCTTCTGTGACATAGCTGGTAGTCTGTTAGCCAGTATCTGTGGAGCATTGTTTTGTGTCAGACCCTGGGCTCAG